ACCTCCCTCTGTATTCACTTTCTGTGGGGAAAAATGCATTCGGAAGTAACCCAGGTGGTAGCTCGCGCCAATAGCAGCCATCAGTCAGTAATGCTGTCAATACCTCTGTTTTCCGAAAGTTCCTTACAAAGAAGCTGTTGGTTTTTATTTTTTTGGCTCACGTCAATTTACCAACAAAATGAATGAACAGATCGTAGGGAAGTGATAATAAGTGGTTTTATAGTGATAACAAATAATTTTGATATACAGAAATAACAATAACTTCGTAAGTGACAAAGACAATTTTAAATGCAATATTTTATTAGTAAAAAGCAATGCCCGCAAAAAAAAAAAAAAAACAGAACAAATGCTCTTCACCTCCCTCGCATCCATAAATGAGATTCAGTGGCTCTGTCGCAGTGAAAATCCAAATAATTGCTGCCAGCTTGTATAAGTCTAAATCAAAACCCTCTCCATAAATTACTGTTTCTGAAGACTGTGAGCTCTCCGAAAGTAGCTCTTGTAATGCCTTTGCATATTCATACAAAATGCAGCGCCTCAAGTTACTGTTGTATATCTTTACAATTGTTCTATCCTTCGCTGTGTAGCCTCGATTTCACTACGACGTTTGCTTAATTCTTCAGGGTCGTCTTCTGGTGTATAAGCTTGATTTCACCACAATGCTTGCTTGTGTGTAATAGAAATTTTAGACATACAAACAGTTAATATCCACGACTAGGAAACTGGAAGAGGACAGAGTGCTTAAAATCATCTATGTATTAACATATGCAGTTGTTTTTTAGCGTGTTTAAATCTTCAGAATCGTCTTCCGGTGTACAATCTCGATTTCACTATGATGTTTTTTCACGTGGGCGCCACTGCGTAGCTTCTTATGTTTCGAACTGCTTAAATCCACTTTGGACTTTACGTCACCAAGACACCTATAAGCTGGGTTTTCGCTGATGTCTCTATCCTTTGTTCTTGTTAAAAATGCAGAAATTCTTTTGTTGTAGAACTCAACTGTACTGGCATGGATGACGGTGTCTATGCAGCCGTTTATGGGCAATGCTCCAAGCATTACTGGCAATGCGAGGCTGATAAAACAACGCTAAAAACTTGCGACAATGGCCTGTTTTTCAACAATGCCATTGAAGGATGTGATATACCAGGAAATATTGCAGATTGCAGGACTATCAGTGATGAGTGAGTGATTATTTTTTGCAATAAAATCACTGATACCGTAACACTGAAATCCCCTAAATTCTGTTTGTGACTGATGATGCGGCTCTCGAACTGTGCAGCTGACAACTTTACCAATTGCTTTGACCCGTGCTGTATCGTCTGGAGGACAGTCTTTTGGCGATTCTGACCTCTGTTTCATTTCCTCAGATTTGGATTACGGTACTGGGGAATTTTCAAGAAAGCATGCATAGCGAAAATCTTTTTTAACAATAAGTAAATTGAAAAAATAAGTAATCTAAAAGTATTTTTGGTCTAACAATGAAAATCTGCCGTTT